TCACTAAACGTGTGGATGCAGTATATATTTATACATGAAATATATCATCCACACATGAAAATTAATCTAGAATAAGGTAGGGTGTGAATTTAAAGTACATCAGCTATTCCTGATTAACTCCAACCGTAGACGTTCTTATTCTGGAATAAGAGTGCTTTATCTACTTTGTGGATTAAGCTAATTCAGAATAACGCACCTTATTCTAGAATAAGAGCATCCACAGATAGGGTATGTCCACACTACGAAATTACTCCGATTTTACAGAATTCGATTTTTGGCAACAGATTGTATAAAGTCAAGTGCATGCGTCCACACTAAGCACATTAATTCAGCAGTGTGCATCCATAGTACCGAGGCCAGCGTCGACTTCTGGAGCGTTGCACTGTGGGTAGCTATCCCATAGTACCCACAGTCTCCTCCGCTCATTGGAATTCTGGGTTGAGATCCCAATACCTGATGGGGCAAAAAACATTGTCACGGGTGGTTCTGGGTACATGTCGTCAGGCCCCCCCTCTCCCTCCACGAAAGCAATGGCAGACAATCATTTCGCGCCTTTTTTCCTGGGTTACCTGTGCAGACGCCATACCACGGCAAGCATGGAGCCCACTCAGCTGACCGTCACCGTATATCTCCTGGGTGCTGGCAGACGTGGGACTGCATTGCTACACAGCAGCAGCTCATTGCCTTTTGGCAGCAGACGGTGCATTACGCCTGGTAGCCATCGTCATCATACTCCTGGGTCCTCTTTTAGCCGACCTCGGTGAGGTTGGTCAGGGGCACCTGGGCAGACATGGGAGTGACTCAGCCAGGTCATGCCCATCTTCTGCTGAGCACCCAGGAGATGACGATGGCTAGCAGTCGTACTGCACTGTCGCTGCCAGCCTAAGATGTATAAGATAGATGGAGTGGATCAAAACAAGAAATAGACCAGATTTGTTTTGTATTCATTTGCTCCCCCCTCCCTCCGTGAAATCAACGGTCTGCTAAACCCAGGGTTTTGAGTTCAATCCTTGAGGGGGCCATTCCGTGTGACAGTTGTTTGTGTTTCTCCTTGATGCAAAGCCACCCCCTTTGTTGATTTTAATTCCCTGTAAGCCATGTCGTCAGTCGCCCCTCCCTCCGTCAGAGCAATGGAAGACAATTGTTTCGCGCCTTTTTTCAGTGCAGACGCCATACCACAGCAAGCATGGAGTCCGTTCATCTCAACGCAGCAGTCATGAACATTGTAAACTACCTCATGCATTATCGTGCAGTTTATGCAGAATCAGAACCTGAAAAACCAGGTGAGGAGGAGGCGACGGCGACACAGAATTCTCTCAAAGTGCAGGCCCTGGCACTTTGGAGATCATGGTGTTAATGGGGCAGGTTCATGCCGTGGAACGCCGATTCTGGGCCCGGGAAACAAGCACAGAGTGGTGGGACCGCACAGTGTTGCAGGTGTGGGACGATTCCCAGTGGCTGCAAAACTTTCACATGCGTAAGGGCACTTTCATGGAACTTTGTGACTTGCTTTCCCCTGCCCTGAAGCGCAAGAATATCAAGATGAGAGCAGCCCTCACAGTTGAGAAGCGAGTGGCAATAGCCCTGTGGAAGCTTGCAACGCCAGATAGCTACCGGTCAGTCGGGAATCAATTTGGAGTGGGCAAATCTACTGTGGGGGCTGCTGTGATGCAAGTAGCCAAAGCAATCACTGAGCTGCTGCTACCAAAGGTAGTGACTCTGAGAAATGTGCAGGTCATAGTATATGGCTTTGCTGCAATGGGATTCCCTAAATGTGGTGGGGCAATAGATGGAACCCATATCCCTATCTTGGCACCGGAGCACCAGGGCAGCCAGTACATAAACTGCAAGGGGTACTTTTCAATGGTGCTGCAAGCCCTGGTGGATCACAAGGGACGTTTCACCAACATCAACGTGGGATGGCCGGGAAGGGTTCATGACGCTCGCATATTCAGGAATACTAGTCTGTTTAAATGGCTGCAGCAAGGGATTTACTTCCTGGACCAGAAAATAACTGTTGGGGATGTTGAAATGCCTATAGTTGTCCTTGGGGACCCAGCCTACCCCTTAATGCCATGGCTCATGAAGCCATACGCAGGCAGCCTGGACTGGAGTCAGGAGCAGTTCAACTATAGGCTGAGCAAGTGCAGAATGGTGGTAGAATGTGCATTTAGACGTTTAAAGGGTCGCTGGCACACTTTACTGACTCGCTCAGACCTCAGCGAAACCAATATTCCCATTGTTATTGCTGCTTGCTGTGTGCTCCACAATCTCTGTGAGAGTAAATGAGAGACGTTTATGGCGGGGTAGGAGGTTGAGGCAAATCGCCTGGCCACTGATTACGTGCAGCCAGACACCAGGGCAATTAGAAGAGCACACCAGGAAGCGCTGCACATCAGAGAAGCTTTGAAAACCAGTTTCATGACTGGCCAGGCTACGGTGTGACTGTTCTGTTTGTTTCTCCTTGATGAAAACCCACCCCCTTGGTTGATTCATTTCCTGTAAGCCACCCACCCTCCCCCCTTCGATCACAGCTTGCTTGCAAAGGAAATAAAGTCATTATCGTTTAAAAACCATGTATTTTTTATTAATTGATTATAAAAATAGGGAGATAACTGACAAGGTAGCCTGGGTGGGGTGTGGGAGGAGGGGAAGAGGGAAGGAAAAGGCCACTTCAAAACTTGTTGAATGACAGCCTTCTGTTGCTTGGGCTGTCCACTGGGGTGGAGTGGTTGGGTGCCCGGAGCCTCCCCCCACACTTTCTTGGGCGTCTGGGTGAGAAGGCGATGGAACTTGGGGAGAGCAGTTAAACAGGAGCTGCAGCAGCACTCTGTGATCCTGCTGCCATTCCTGAAGCTCCACCAGACGCCGGAGCATGTCCGTTTGATCCCGCAGTAGCCCCAGCGTTGCATCCTGCCTCCTCTGATCTCCCTGCCGCCACCTCTCATCTCTATCGTCCCTCCTGTCCTCACGTTCGTCCCTCCTGTCCTCACGTTCATTGGCCACTTTCCTGTACTGTGATACTGCGTCCTTCCACACATTCAGATGAGCTCTTTCATTGCAGGTCGACAGCATGATCTCAGAAAACATTTCATCACACGTGCGGTTTTTTCGCCGCCTTATCTGAGATAGCCTTCGGGACGGAGGAGGGAGGCTTGAAAAATGTGCAGCTGCGGGAGGGAAAAAAGGGAGAGAAGTATTTAAAAAGATACCCATTGTTCTGTAAAATGTATACTCTTTCACGGTGAACAACACTATTCACATTACATAGCACATGTGATTTCGGTACAAGGTCACATTTTGCATCTTATATTGAGTGCCTGCGACTTCGGTGTTAGAGATCACAGACGCAGGGCCGGGCAACAGAATTCGGCTTGCAGGCGCCCATGGTAAGCCATAGTCTTTCGGCTTCTGCAACCTTCATAAAAGCAGTGACCTCCTTTCCCATACCAAGCAAAGCCCGTTGAGTGCTGCGGTTTTCGTGTTAACGTGCAACAGCAGAAACCAAACTAACTCCCCCTCCCCCATCCAATTCTCTGGGATGATCGCTTTACGCCTCCCCCCACCGCGTGGCTGGTATCAGGGAAGATCCCTGCTAGCCAAACGCGAACAGCTCAGCGCCAATGCACCCTCCCACCCGCCACCGCTTGGCTAACTGCGGGGAGGATTTCTTTTCAGCCACAGGCAAACAGCCCAGTAGGAAGGGCCACCTCTGAATGTCCCCTTAATTAAAATTCCCGTATTTCACCCAGGTTACCATGAACGATATCACTCTCCTGAGGATAACACAGAGAGATAAAGAACGGATGTTGCTTGACTGCCAGCAAACACCGGGACCATATGCTGCCAGGCTTTGTCATGCAATGATACCAGATTACTTGCTACTAGCATGGCGTGGTAAAGTGTCCTACCACGGAGAACGGAATAAGGCTGCTCTCCCCAGAAACCTTCTGCAAAGGCTTTTGGAGTACCTCCAGGAGAGCTTCACGGAGATGTCCCTGGAGGATTTCCGCTCCATCCCCAGACACGTTAACAGACTTTTCCAGTAGCTGTACTGGCCGCGAATGCATCCCAAGTCCTCAGGGCAAATTAATCATTAAAAACGCTTGCTTTTAAACCATGTTTTATATAACAAAGGTACACTCACCAGAGGTCCCTTCTACAGCTTCGTGGTCCGGGATACAGCCTTGGGAGGGTATTTCAGTCATGGTGAGAAAAAGATCCTGGCTGTTGGGGAGAACGGTGTGCTGTGTGCTCTCCTCAAGCTCGTCCTCCTCCTCCTCTTCTTCCCCGTCCGCAAAATCCTCAGGCATGGCTGAGAGTACCCCCTCCTCGGAATCCACGGTCAGGGGTGCGGTAGTGGTGGCGCCCCCCCCAGAATTGCATGCAGCTCAGCATAGAAGCGGCATGTCTGCGGCTCTGCCCCAGAGCGTCCGTTTGATTCTTTGGTTTTCTGATACGCTTGTCTGAGCTCCTTAACTTTCACGCGGCACTGTGTTGAGTCCCTGTTGTGGCCTCTCTCCATCATGCCCTTGGAGATTTTTTCAAATGTATTGGCATTTCGTCTTTTGGAACATAGTTCTGATAGCATGGAATCGTCTCCGCATAGAGTGATCAGATCCAGTACCTCCCGTACGGTCCAGGCTGGAGCTCTTTTTCGATTCTCGGACTGCATGGTTACCTGTGCATATGAGCTCTGCATGGTCACCTATGCTGATGAGCGCGACTGGCCAAACAGGAAATGAGATTCAAAAGTTCACGGGGCTTTTCCAGTACACCTGGCCAGCGCATCTGAGTTGAAAGTGCTGTCCAGAGCGGTCACAATGGTGCACTGTGGGATAGCTCCCAGAGGCCAATACCGTCAAATTGCATCCACACTAACCCTAATTCGAACTGGCGATATTGATTTCAGCGCTAATCCCCTCGTCGGGGAGGAGTACAGAAATCGATTTTAAGAGCCCTTTATGTCGAAGTAAATGGCTTCGTTGTGTGGACGGGTGCATGGTTAATTCGATTTAACGCTGCTAAATTCGACAAACTCGTAGTGTAGACCAGGCCATAGAGTTGATCAGGAATAGCTCTTCTGGAATGACTTCCCATGTAGACAAGCCTTAAATTGTCATTACTTGGATCTGCAAAAAGGCAGCAAATATCCTGAAAAGAATTTCTGTGACCCACATAAGATGCATCACAAAGTACTATGTCTATGGTACATGAGCTTTATGTATACATAGTCTGGCAAACATAAGAAGTAATAGCTACCTATGTTTTTATGTCAGTGCTAATCTGCTAATGGAGTCTTCCATAAAGATTAAGAGCTAATAAAGTACTGAACTTTGCATTAAACAGCGTTTGCCTCATCCTTCCCACAACATCACAGACCTAACTCCTGGTACAACAAGACCTGACAAGAGCACACAAGTCAACACTTATTAAAAATGATCTGGATGCAGATTATCTTTTGTTGGCTCAATATTTTTTGTTGTTTGATCTACCTCGAAACTGGAATTGTTAATGCAAAGATGAACTAAAGGTTGTCTAGTTTCAGTGAAGGCTCTGTAAGCAATTCTAGCTCCTTTGCAGAAATCTTAGACAAGGTAAGTGAGAATGTCTTTTATTGGACCAACTTCTGTGGGTCCAATCACCTCACCCACCTTGTCTCTCTAATATCCTGGGACCAATGCAGCTACAACAACACTGCAAATACAGGCTCTGTTGTTCTCCCAGGCTGACCTCTCAATGGGAGCTAACTGCACCTTCTCTGAGGACAGATGCCTGCAGGGATTTGGTCTATCCTCACTAAGGACCCTGTGTTCCCTACACAGAGGTAATTCTCACACATGGAAGCGTAAACACTTTGAACTCAGAATTTCTTCTTTTTCATCATCCTGTGTGTGTGTTGGGGGGCGGGGTGGCTTACTCCCAATACAAAACACTGAGTCTCAGGGGTTCCACTAGAGACAAATCATCTGCACTAAGGACCTGTGCCTCCACATACTCCACCAACATATTAATGGATTAGCCACAATAAAAGATCAAGATAGACTTTTCTTTTAATTCACATATGTGTTTCTGCTAATGCTTTGACTGATTAAAACTGAAATAACATTTAAAATCTAATGTACTTTTCAAAATTTATACTGATAGGTCGCTTTTTGCATTTTTCTCAGCTTGGCCAGTGAAACTAAACAGGTCCAGTTCCCATTTGTTTATAGTCACTTTCATTTCCTTATGCACCATCAGGTTGCTGATGTATTGCAGAATATGTACATTTCTTTTAAATGGTGCATTTAATTCTTCTAAAAATCATTACATTAATAAACACCTACACTGCCCATTCACTCCAATGAGAGAGCTCTGAACCTGAGTGATATTTTTACATGTAAATGGGGGCATTCATTGTCTTACCTGAGAGTCAAGTTACATGCGATGTGATATCAGAACTGTAATCATGCAGAAGGGCTTCCTTCCAGGACCTGAAAGTCGTGTATTCATAGCCCTTTAATTGCAGAGTCACTGCTGAATAGCTGGCACTTTGTCTGCATCACTCTTCACAGGACACAAGAGTTTGGCATCCTTTTACATATTCCTTTCTAGAAAAAGAGAACAGGATAAGAGGGTTGAAAGACTTAATATTTTTTCTTGCACATTTTGGCTGTTTCTAGATAAAACAGAAATAACTTGTTTCTTCGGGGTGCAACTCTGTGCGGAATTGAACACCTCATAGAATCAGGGCCCTAGGAAGTTCCCAATCCTACTATACTGAAACCCATGGTAATCCTTCCAGTACTCCAATGGAATTCTTAGATGGTCATATTTTCCCATTCTTCTACTCTCTTCACCACAGAGTTTATATACATGTCTGTTGTGTAAAGGTTAGAAGTGAGAAATATCTATTACTGTCCATGTGGTGTTGGTACATTTTGTGTTTTTTGTTTTTCAAATGCTGCACTGAATACTCTAAAGCACTCCCTTCTGCACCCCATCTCATGTGACTGATTCATTTAATACTAAGAAATTTAAATATATATATAAATAAAAACAGGCACTGAAAAATGAAAATATCTAATAAATGGACATATTTATTTCATTCAATTAAAAAGGTCTCAAGAATGAAGTGGTCTGCCTCAGTTCAACATTTTAAAGCATAGTTACCATAATTAAATAAGGCAAAACAGATTTGCTGTAGCACACAGGAAAATGTGAGAAGACAGTAGAACAAAATTCCAAGACTAACCTGGAAACCGGGAGGCTCTCATCGAGTAATTAAATATATTGCCAACAACCCATAAGTCTCCATTGCGTTAGCAAGGGAAATATGATTTAAGAACACCCGTCAGTGTTTATAATGCGTTATCCCAAAGGAAACAAGTGCATCTGTTCTATATTAATTGTAGGTGATTTTTCAGTAGTTTGAGAGCTATTTAAGCAAGTATTCTACAAACAATGTTATAGTAATATAGCCAAACCACAAAAAGATTAAGGAGCTATAGAGTAATAAAACAAAGGTCTCAAGGCACATTTTTATGGAGCTATTATCTGGGTGTGTGTGAAAAAAAGAGGGCACACAGAGTGCATCTTAATTCCCACATCCCCTGCACACACATGCAGCCATTCTTCTTCTTCTTATACAACAGCAAGTGCAAAGGCGGTGAAATGGATAACCTGTCCACCAGTGCCCCACAGCTTTAAAGGCATGTGGTCTGCCAGCTAGGGTTCCCAACCCTACATATGCATATTTTAGTTGGCAGCACTGTTCTTTTCTGGAAAAGCCAAGTGATTCCCCACCTCTTACTGTGATGTCAGGGAGGTCCAGGAACTCACCATGCAGCTGGCAATACTTTACTCATCCCCGACGCAAATACATTCAAAACTAGTAAAGACTAGATTTTCATAATGTGTATTTGGAGGCATACACGTGCTATCGACGTATATAGATTTACTCTATATATATGGACAGTGAAAAAGAATACTTTGGTGATATGCAGCACCGAAATAAATAAAATAGTCTAATGTTGAGGTTTCCTGTTCTAGCTTCCTTGTCAATCCCTTAGTGCAGTTTGCTTATGCCATGGGCCCTGCCCTCATTCTTACCGATGTTCACTGCCTCCAGGCCAACACATTAAAAAAAACCAAAGTATTCTACATAGAAATTGCTCTGCTTTGCTAACAATTTACACCCACAGACTGACTGATGGTCAACTCATTGAATATGTAAGGACAGTTAGCTAAGAGGCCTTGTACTTTGATCATACCCTCCTTTTGACACTTTCCGGGTCTTTGTCTTATAACAAGAAACTTTACAAAGACGATCATAACAAATGCATGTACCAGCAACTTGTAATTATGAGCAAGATATCTCATTATTTGTGGTCTACCTGCCCTTTGCTGATTGCAGTGGGTATGACATGGAAGGAATCTTTTGCTCTTGGCTGCTAGGTTATTTATATACTTTTCCATGCGACTCACCACATACCTGAGCACCTCATAAACATGAATGAAGTTATCCATACAACACCCCTCTGAGGCAGGAAACTCTTTTTAAATCAGGTTTCAGAGTAGCAGCCGTGTTAGTCTGTATCTGCAAAAAGAACAGGAGTACTTGTGGCACCTTAGAGACTAACAAATTTATTAGAGCTACAGCATGCATCCGAAGAAGTGGGCTGTAGCCCACAAAAGCTTATGCTCTAATAAATTTGTTAGTCTCTAAGGTGCCACAAGTATTCCTGTTCTTCTTTTAAATCACCATTTTACAGATGGGAAAGTGAGGCACAGACAGATTGACTTGCCCAAAGCTACACCTTACTAGCTATAGCAGAGTTGAAACCAATATCCAGACTTCTTAAGTCCTTGTCCAGTACCTTTGCCACAAAACCTTCTCTGCAGACCTGCCTCTCCTTCTGATACACTAAAGTCTCGGAATCTTACCTACAAGTTTGGGCTCAACTAACCTGCTCGGTAGGTGCACGCCCAGACTAATGCAAGGGATGAGAAATGTTCAAGGTGATAATCAGCGCTACGGAGATGCTCTGACTTGTGCCAGGGGCAGGTGAACTGTGCAGCAGCGCAGAATCCAGGCAGAGCCAAGGTGGCACAAACCATTTCGGAACATGAACCATCTTTGACTAGATGGTGAAGCGTAGGCAGACACATTAAGTAATTTACCCGGCAGAGTTTCCTTCATTAACATGTACAAGTCCCTGCTAGCCAGGGTTAGTTTCTGTGGCTGCACAGCTCAGATCTCTCCCCGCTCCAAGCCGAGTGACCACTTGAGAAGAACTTTCCCTTCTGCGTTGTCCTAAAACGTAAACCGTTTTCGCAGCTGCCTTCAAGGCGAGCTTATGTTTCCACCCGCAATGTCCGTACTCCTGGCCGGGGGCTCGCGGGTGCAGATAACGCCTCTTCCCCACCGCAGCCGCCTGCAACGGGGCCCGCTTCGCCCCCTTCTCGCTTCTTTTCGCCTTTCCCATTTCGCCTGTCCGGACCAGCAGCGGGTGTCAGGAGGTCCCGGGGCCCGCCCAACGCTCCTGTCACGGCCCCAGGCGGGCGCCCAGCCGCCTCAACACCGCCTCAGAGCTCCCTAGGCAGGGGGCAACCAACGCACCCGGCTGCCCATGGAGCAGCCGCCCCTGCCCCTCCCTGTCTCCCGTTTCCATTCCGGCGGCTGCGCGGTCACCCCGCCCCGGCGCGGGGAGGGGCCTGAGGAGCGGCGCTGCCGGGCCCCGATTGGCGGAGCCGCTTGACAACCGCAGTCAGGGAGCCGGAGCAGCCAGAAGCGGAGCCGTAGGGTCGGGGCAGACGCCGAACTGGACCCCCTTATTCCTGGGCCAGGGACCCGCCGCCATTTTGCGTCCCTCCCATCCGCTCCGTGCGTATCTGTGTGTCCGGGCCCCCCGGACTCCCCTCAGGTGGGTCCGCGTCGTCGTCGTGGGGAGCAGCCCCGGGCTCGGGCTGCCTGGGGAGAGTCCCGGCCTGCTGGGGACCCCTTCCTGCGGGGGCCAGGCTGGCACCTCCCGAGAGAGGGTGATAGAAGGCAATGGGGGAGGAGAGTGTGTGGGAGGGAGCAAACCGGAGGGGCGGGAGGAGGGGAGTGGGAGCAGGAGCTGGGGGTGGGGAGGCGGCGGCGGGCCTGTCAGGGAAGGGGGTGGGGGCTAGAAGAGAGTCTGGGGCGGGTGGGGTGACAGCGGAAGCTCTGAAGGGGGGAAGCCCCAGGGGATGGCAGGGTCCCCTGTCATGGGGAGGAGGGGAGGAGGTCTCCTGCCAGACAGTGGAGCGGAGGGTGGTGCTGAAGGGACCAGGCGAGACAACAGCCTGGCTGCTTTGATGCTGGTTTGGCGAAAACCCATTCATCTTGGCATTCTCTCCTACCCCGCCCCAGACCCCGGTATCCTCCAGTCTAAATGTGGTGCGTGATCCTGTTCTGTGGCCTGCAGCCCCGGTTCATTCCCTCCGTGAAGAGCAAGGGGACAGTGTGGTTCTAGCCTGATTCCTCTGTTGTGAGCCTGGCATCTAAGTACTGATTTCCCTTTGTTGTAGCGTTTACAGGGCAAGTCCTCTATAATTAGGTGCCTTGGACATAAAAATGTGTCGACTCTTAGCATACTTGTGTTTACGTGAACAAGATGCGGTTTCCTTTTTGCCTTTATTGCTGACAAATGGGATGTATAAATATGATGCATTAAACCTTAATATTTAAGTACAGTAATCTCACTGAAGTCCTACATGTTCTTAGTTCTTCTGAGTAAACATTCTGGAAATATTTTCTGTATCTTGATACTGTATCGTTAAGTACGTTATTGTTTCAGGGTTTTGAGTAGCAAAAAGGAGAAAATACTCTTAAATACACATGAGCTAAAACGAATGAAGTATGCCAATACAAAAGTGGTGTACCAGCGACTACTTAGTCAAAACACATTAGCTAGTTGCTAGATTGTCAAAAAAAAAATTTAGTAAAAGTTGTTTCCTTTTTCCTCTTTATCACAACATACAAGTATTGTGTGGTTTAATTTCACCTTTCTTTTTTTTTTTTTTTTGGCATCCATCATACACTTCTCTGCATGATGTGCATTTATAATCTAGACAAAGAGCATTCAGGTTGTAAAAGAAACTGATAAAAGCAAGGAAATCTGCCAGTCACTTATCAAATATAGTAGGTCAAACCTTAATGAAGTATGTAATATTGTGTCTCTCTAAACTGGGCCTTGCAGACCACAAGGAGGTACTCCAATATGAAACACTTGGATGCTAAGTAGTGGAGGTGTGGAGAGAGAGGGTGGTGCATGATAGAATCTTTATTTTGACAACTGATCAGTGGAATGGAAAAAAGTTGAGCCATTGAGTTAACGCTGTTCATTTGGGAGCCAGGTATGGGAAAATGCGTTGTATAATTCGTCCTTATACACAGGTTTGTCTTTTTAATTAAAATCAGAGTACCTGTATTGTAATGTAGTTTATATGAATTTTTATATTACCTTGTTCCTAAGGGCTAAGTGATCTCCAGTGATTTCCACCCTATATATCCCTTTTTCATGGGAATTAATTCAGATAAAAACTTGGCCCATAGAATGTAATTTTTAAATATTTCCTCTTTTATTTAGGGCATCTGAGAATTATTGAGGATAGAGTGAAAATGGAGCCACAAGTTAATGACTTGGGCCCAGATCCTGCAATGAACTCTCTGCATGGACAGACTCCTGTGCTCACGTGGAGATATCATTGCAGAATCAGGGGCTAGGTTACTCTAGAATGAATGAATAAAAATGTGTCTAATATTTCACACCAAAAAGTGAACACTTTAATTATTATTTTTTATTTTAAATGTTTTTTCTTTTTTCCCTTAATACTACTTACGGAGCTCTTTTCTGTGAAGTTGTTTATGCTGCAACAGTTATTATTGTGACAGTCTCTTCAGAAGTGTCTGCATTTTAAAAGGCTTTTGGTTTACAGCTTGTTATTTACACCTGTTAGGAAAACTAGACTTTTGAATGCATTTTGCTCTTCTGTGTAAAAAGATAGATGTAGAGATGTTTTTTAAGTTCATCAGAAGCAGGAAGCCTGCTAAACAACCAGTGGGGCCCCTGGACGATCGAGATACAAAAGGAGCACTTAAAGACGATAAAGTCATTGCGGAGAAACTAAATGAATTCTTTGCTTCAGTCTTCACGGCTGAGGATGTTAGGGAGATTCCCAAACCTGAGCCGTCCTTTGTAGGTGACAAATCTGAGGAATTGTCACAGATTGAAGTGTCGTTAGAGGAGGGTTTGGAATTAATTGATAAACTTAACAGTAACAAGTCACCGGGACCAGGTGGCATTCACCCAAGAGTTCTGAAAGCACTCAAATGTGAAATTGCGGAACTATTAACTGGTTTGTAACCTGTCCTTTAAATCAGCTCCTGTACCCAATGACTGGAAGATAACTAATGTAACACCAATATTTAAAAAGGGCTCTTGAGGTGATCCCGGCAATTACAGACCGGTAAGTCTAACATCAGTACCGGGCAAATTAGTTGAAACAATAGTAAAGAATAAAATTGTCAGACACATAGAAGAACATAAATTGTTGGGCAAAAGTCAGCATGGTTTCTGTAAAGGGAAATCATGTCTTACTAATCTATTAGAGTTCTTTGAAGGGGTCAACAAACATGTGGACAAGGGGGATCCAGTGGACATAGTGTACTTAGATTTCCAGAAAGCCTTTGACAAGGTCCCTCACCAAAGGCTCTTACGTAAATTAAGTTGTCATGGGATAAGAGGGAAGATCCTTTCATGGATTGAGAACTGGTTAAAAGATAGGGAACAAAGGGTAGGAATAAATGGTAAATTTTCAGAATGGAAAGGGGTAACTAGTGGTGTTCCCCAAGGGTCAGTCCTAGGACCAATCCTATTCAACTTGTTCATAAATGATCTTGAGAAAGGGGTAAACAGTGAGGTGGCAAAGTTTGCAGATGATACTAAACTGCTCAAGTTAGTTAAGACCAAAGCAGACTGTGAAGAACTTCAAAAAGATCTCACAAAACTAAGTGATTGGGCAACAAAATGGCAAATGACATTTAATGTGGATAAATGTAAAGTAATGCACATTGGAAAAAATAACCCCAACTATACATACAATATGATGGGGGCTAATTTAGCTACAACTAATCAGGAAAGAGATCTTGGAGTCATCGTGGATAGTTCTCTGCAGACGTCCACGCAGTGTGCAGCGGCAGTCAAAAAAGCAAACAGGATGTTAGGAATCATTCAAAAAGGGATAGAGAATAAGACGGAGAATATCTTATTGCCCTTATATAAATCCATGGTACGCCCACATCTTGAATACTGCATACAGATGTGGTCTCCTCATCTCAAAAAAAAATATACTGGCATTAGAAAAGGTTCAGAGAAGGGCAACTAAAATGATTAGGGGTTTGGAACGGGTCCCATATGAGGAGAGATTAAAGAGGCTAGGACTTTTCAGCTTGGAAAAGAGGAGACTAAGGGGGGATATGATAGAGGTATATAAAAGCATGAGTGGTGTGGAGAAAGTGAATAAGGAAAAGTTATTTACTTGTTCACATAATATAAGAACTAGGGGCCACCAAATGAAATTAATGGACAGCAGGTTTAAAACAAATAAAATGAAGTTCTTAATCACACAGCGCACAGTCAATCTTTGGAACTCCTTGCCTGAGGAGGTTGTGAAGGCTAGGACTATAACAAGGTTTAAAAGAGAACTAGATACATTCATGGAGGTTAAGTCCATTAATGGCTATTAGCCATTTTCCCTAGCCTCTGTTTGTCAGAGGGTGGAGATGGATGACAGGAGAGAGATCACTTGATCATTACCTGTTAGGTTCACTCCCTCTGGGACACCGGGCATTGGTCATTATCGGCAGACAGGATACTGGGCTGAATGGACCTTTGGTCTGACCCAGTATGGCCATTCTTATGTTCTTATGACTCTGGGAATATTTGTAATATGCTGAAAAAATATAAAAGGAGTATATTGGAGATCTTTTGATGCCAGA